GTGAGCACAATCCAACAGTCCTCACTCCACGACAATTCTACTTCGGTTTTCAACGAGACCATTGCCCAACCTATTTTCAACCAACTTTTCCTCTGAAATGGAAAGTTATGTCATAATATATCATTAATATATATTTGCTATAGCAAATGCAACGGAACTTCATTGGCAATCCCATCACATAATGTAATATAAGAAAATTCCGAGCCTTTTTTGAAATTTGCATCTGCTCTGTGACCAAGGGGCACTTATATTAGTCTGAAGTAGTGGTTAACGGTTCGAGGTTATTCGCTACAGTGTCATGGTTCGAGTCCCGCTGGGGTGCTGATGAAACGAGTTGAGGTGGTGTTGAAACTGCAGTCCACTCCTGTCGGGATAGGAATACCATTTGTGAAAGCAAGGCAACGTGAGCTTTAATGCAAACGTGAGGTCTACGCGTATGATTGCGGGAAAATTCAGGTACCAGTCCATTTATCACCTTAAACGATATAGTGTGAATACATCTCAGATATATAATCTACTGGTAGTCTCGAAAACCTACTTATAAACGTAACACAAAGACATAATATGTCAGCTACAGATGAAGCGTATACAAAGAAATGAGGAAATGTAGACCAAAAAGTTTGAAAAGTAGAATGGAGAGGTAGAAACGGTCTAGAATGAGGAAGAGGAAGAGGGCAAGAAGGAAAAAAAAGAATAAAAAGTGAAGGAGGAAGTTGTTGAAGTCAGTTTGATTTCTACTTGAAAAAAAGTTTGGGTTGTCTAAACGACCATTGAGATTAATCTACCTTAAAATATTCCGTGTTTCCCAACCATTGTAAATCCTTTTTTCCACCAACAAAATCACTTCATCACTAAACTCGCAATTTGGCAATCTTTCGCTTCACCTTTCATTTGCACCTCGTTTGCTCAAACAGCTGATTTGCATAACCTGTCGTGGACGATATGACCTGAGGCTGAATTAGTCTTAGCACATGTGGTTGTGCCGCAGGAGACGTATTTTCCTGAAAACAAAGTCACAGGCCACTTGTCCCAAGAATCGTCGAGTTGGTCGATGTAAGGTTGTCAGGCGTCTTGCCTTGGTTCTTGCGTCATCTACGTCGCCGCGGCCGTGGTCGTCTGTACACGTTGCCAGGGGCCCACGCCCAGCTGTTAGGCCGAGGCGACGCTCGGACTGGTCGAGCCCACCGCTCCACTAGGAACCTTGCCAAGTGGGACGACAGCACTTGTTCTCGGCCGGAAACAAGAGTCCTCTTCCCGTTTCCCAGGCCTCTTTAAATGATTTCGCGCACAGCCCCGACCCTTCTTTTCTCTCTTTGTCGCCTGCTCTCTTATGACTTCCTGCCTTTAGCATTCTCTACCAGTTGATACAGCCACTTCTGAGGACGGAAAGGGTAGAATTTCCCTCTTTTGCTTTCTCTCAACAACACGCTCACACGCAAGCACGTACGTCCTTACGCAAAAGCATGCACACGCAGATGCATGCAGACACGAGAATGTACACGTCTCATGGACCTGAAAAGAGCAGGTTTTATTTCAGTCATGCCAACAGATCACAAAGATCCATGACATGATCGGCAAAAAGATTTGTCTCCGCCTTCAGAAGTAATGGCCACTTGTAGAGGGATTTATTAACAACAAATCAAATCAAATCAAATCAAATCAAATCAAATCAAATCAAATCAAATCAAATCAAATCAAATCAA